CTGATCTTGATATGTATAGTGCTGCGCTTGATGAGTGGAGACATCAGCTCACTTGTTCTTCCCACACCTGGGCTATAGCTTTGATATACAGCCCCGGCACCTGCGCCGTATGATGGCTGTGAATTGTATTTCCCCATCACCCTAGCAACCGATGACGCGTATTATGCGCGCTGACAAATCGGGACAAGGGGCGATGACGTATACAGTGCCTGGGGATACTAGACCGCAATGCCGTTGTCCCGAGACTGCTGTAGATACATGTTGTAGCGATGTCGGACATTCTACTACCGCAGCGCTTACTTCGACCATCAGACTGTGGGTACAATTTATTAATTATTTTCGTTAGTTTGAACATGTTGTTTTTAAACAAGATTTTGACTTTTAAATATGGCGTTTTCTCCCGCCATTCTGACATCACCAGGGGTGTGGTTATTAATTATTTACAAATTTCATGGGGTATATATGTGGTGTGGGAATACTATTACATTGTCACATCTTTCTGCCTTGAAGAAGGGACCCTGCGCGGTCCTGAAACGTCGGCTTTGTTGATTGCCGTGACACAATTGTCCAATAAAAAGGACATATCTATTTAAATTATCGGAGTGCTGGTGACCTGTTGTTTTTATCTTGTATTTTGCACGGTGCCATCCGTGGTCGTTACTACAAGCACCATTGTTCTTATTGGCCGGGATTGCTGTAAGGTGTGCGGAGAGCACCCCACCAACTGAAAATTGATTTGGTGCCACTCTTGTCTTTATGCAGAGCAACTAACCTCTGAAGGGCGTGTTTTGTTGCATTCCATTTCTTTACATCTAATCCAAACTCAGTGAGAGTAAACTGATTTTCATTTCCAGCCGAGAAAACCCTGACATATTTATCCTTGTTGTCAAGGCTACATGCTAGCAATGCAATTCAAAGCAACGCATACATTTTTATGTAGTGAGTTTTCTATTTTCGGTGCTTCATCGCCAGCAAACTCCTACTCACTAATTCTCAGCCTGTGGATATAGAGGTCAATAGATGACACAACAATGCCACCAGTAGACTAAATTACTGACTGGTGTAAGTCTCCAACATTCAGATGAAAAAAAGAAAGTACTTTGCATTATTGTAACTCAACAATAATCTAAAATTGCGATGGGTTTAAGAACAGAATAAACTTTGATGTAAAGGTTTTCTACTGTTTTTAAACACGTGAAGTACTCTTTATTTAATGGGCCAGTAAACGTATTACAAGAAATATAGTTTATACAAAACAGCTATCACAAATATGAAAAGGGTTGTATGGGCACAGAACATTTTTTATTAATCTGTGATGTGTAGCCTACTGTACTATGTAAGCTGTCATTTGCTATTTTAAATGTGTGCCGAGGCAAAATAAACGAAAAAATAAATGCAGTACATTTCTGAAGTAGATGCACATTTCCCTGTGGGCTGATAACACACATTTTTTGTGAACTGAGTGGTGTCAGCCCTGTCCAGCAACCTTTGCTAAACTACTCAACCACTCCCACTATAAGGTGAAAATGACGGCCACGCAAGCGTGCAAATGTTCCTACAGAATGGGACGGAAGTGTTTTATGGTGCGCATGCGCAACCGGAATTACACACAAACGGCAGGTGCACAGGAAGTGACACAACATGCATTAAGAAAGTGGCCTATTTAAAGAAGCCTGCCCTGCTCACTGTGCTAATGTTATTTCAGCTGTGTGTGTTCCTGTGCCTGTTACCCGTTGAAGACTTCTGCCTGCACCCCCTTGACTCGGATTGTTTTGGACCTTTTTTGATTGCTGCCTGCCCCTGACTGCGGCCTGTTTCCTGGACTTGATTATTGACTCTTGATTCTGTATCTCGCTGCCCGGCTGGTTCCGATCCTTGACTCCGCTCCTGGACTTTCCTTGCACTGGCCTGATCCTACCTGTGGCACTCGTGCTCCTCGCTGCCCTTTCACACCCTGTTCCCATCTCCAGGGGGTGTAGGACGCAAGCAGTAAGAAAAGCCTCATCGACTGTCGGTCTCTCATCAGGTACGTGATACCCACTCTGCCTTCTCTACATCAGAAAGGCTAATTATTCTAATGTCCAACAATAACAACTAGAAGGGATAATTACTTTCCTTGGGATAACACAGAAAGTGTGCACAGGGCAAAGGACAGCTCGGAATTTCTGACATGATCAACAGGTTTTTTTTTTGCACTTATTGAACAGAATAACACAACGCTTTGGTATGGTATATCTGTCAGACCAAAGTAGCTATTAAGTTAGTTGTGAAGGTTTACAAATTTAGGGTTTAAGGAGGCTTACAAATGGCAACTGACATTATTCTTCTGTGTGTATGTTAGCCAGATTGTCAGCTTTATTCAGGAATTAAGCTTACCACCATATCAGAGTTAGAGTTCAACAATGAGGTTCCACAAAGACCACACATCACAAGGCATAACTGATCATTCAATTGAGAAATATTTGAAGCACCATGTTTTGGGGTCCAAACAATGATGAGAGTTGATACTTGTGGCGTCACCTTAATAAGGTATCACCCATTTTAGTTTATACTTTCGGCTCTGATAAGTGTCTTAATATTACAATATTTATCCATTGAAGAAATGTTCTTTTAACCTTTTTTGCATCAACTAACTTGTAATGTATGCTTAGTCACCCTGAAAACATGTTTTCATTTGCATGTGTTGGGAAGCTCATATACACAGCATATAGGACAGCTTAGGTTACTTTGATATCTACAAGTTTGTGACAAGTTCACTTTTGGGTAATAAAACCAAATTGACCGCATGTCCTGCTTAACTTCTCAACTGTATGTGACCTTTCCTATGTTGGACTATGTATGGCTGACAATGTTACAAAGTTACAATGGAAGACTCACACAACTTAGAAGCATTTCTTTCCCCTTATTGCAATCCAAATAACAAGGCTACAAGGTTAAAACCTGTCCAATGAGTGCCTTGCATTCACTGGTAATTTGGATTGCAATAAAGTGAAAGTTTTGAGTGCCTCACGTCATCTGCCTCCTAATTTTTGAATTGTAAGAGTATATGTAAAGCCAAAAACTTTCCTTAATTTTGGAAAGAGAGAGGAATAGATAAAACACATGTCAAGTTTTTTTGCATTCTGGCTCCTATTTGGGAGATTTCCTGTCACATACACATAACAGGAATTAAAAAGAAATCTCTCCAAAGTTAGGTATATCCCCTCTTAGATGGCTGTCACTGGAAAAAGTGTCCTTATTGGGAGAATAGACTCTATTTGTCCTGGTGACAATGACCAGAAGGCCACAGCAGAATTATATATTGTAAAAAAAAAAGGGAAAAAGCTAAATAATAATAACTAAGATACAACACATTTACATTATAGATAAAAATACATACAATACAGTTAAGAGTCCTTATAATTAAGGATGTTCAGATACCAGTGCCGATACTTGGCATTTTCATGAGAACTACCGGGGTTGCAGCGGTTGCAGCTGGGACCTGGCTCTGGCGCTCCACCACTGTCCTGAAATCATTAGTCTATTGTTTTAGAAAACCTGTCACATGACACTAAACAAAAATGTATCAGTACTTGTATCTGTGAGTACTTGGACAAGTATCAGTACTCGTACTTGAAAAAATAGTATCTGTGCATTCCTCATATATATATATTTATAAAAAGCAAATAATACATTAAAACAGGGATGTACAAATCCAAGGCCCTCCTTAAAAATGACAGCTGCCTCCTAACTTTTGAATTTTTCTGTAGTCTAGTCTAGTAGCTGGAAAAGTATTTGTACATGTACTTGTACCGAGTACGGTACTTGGTATCTGAACACCCCTACTTATAATGATTCAAGTTAATCCTTGCAAATCAGAATACATGCTTGACCCTGGGTGCAATCTGTCTGTGTCCAGGGACAAACATCTATCCTGATAGGCAGGTAATTGTTCCATGTATGAATACATGCAGATAGCCACAGAGAGATGTAGCGACTGTCAGACTGACATTCACTGGAACAGACACAGCTGAGGCCTAATGCAGGCTAGAGGAACACAAAACAGGTAATACAATAAATGCTCAAGAAAAATCAAAACATCACTCACAGCAGATTTCAAATATATTTATTGCGAGTAATAATTTTTTCATTTCAATAAAATAGATTTTAAAATGTACTGTATAAAAGAATTAGGCTTTTTTCAATAATTTACTATTATTTACATTAGAATGTTGTTTCTGTTAGTATACAGAACCGATACTCTTGTGTTTGTTTATTTCCATCCAGCAAAAAACATCTTTCCCAGCACATGAAATTTCACCCCAGCACGGGACATTTCGCCCCAGCGGAGAGCCCCATACAAAACCTAGATTTAAAAATGTTAATACTGCACAAGTACTTACACTGGAATGTAGATGATGTAAGTGCAAAAAAAAACCAAACAGCTAGTCCATTAGTGGACATACATAGCAGAGAGTCCATGTGCGGGACGCAGTTTAGACCCTCCTTTAAGGCCACTAGCTGTTTCACTTGCATGCATGATCTCCTGACATGGGTGTCACCTGGCCAGACTTTCTCCATGGTACAGTTCATTGTGCCTGCAAGTGCAACTGCTCATTGTACCTCTACCATTACCATATACATCTCCATTTACTTCTCTATTCACTACATTTTTAACTTACCATCAACGGCACTACTGGTGTCACTTCCTGTGACGTTATTAGTAGTAGTGAACCAGACTTTGCCTTCCCCATTTAAAAATGAAAATTCTAACTGGTGTCTGATCCTTGTGCAAAGGGGCCCACATAATCTGCAGTGGAAGGGAGTGCCTTCCTATATACTGACCACCAAGTCAACACTATGGCTCTTCCACACCCCCAATGGGCTCCCCCAGTCCTTTTGGGCTGAGGAATGTACCACCAACACTTTTTTTTATCTCACTACTGACGAATTTCTTAACATACTCGCATCCTTCATATCACAATATGCTAAAACAGCATATAAAACCATTCCTTTTGATTTTTGCACTATTCTGGATACATTCAGGAACTGTAGGCAATGAAAAAACTACAGCTTATGTTTGGTTGTTGAGGATCATTCATCCAAAATAATAATAATAGTCACTGTGCCTATAGAAAGCCCTTTCTCTTCAGCGACTGTGACATAAATTACTGCAATATTATAACTTTGCTGCTGGTGTATGATTCTTCGATCTTCTGGCAACAATTAGGCAAACAATTCTGATCATGCACTATGTTTGGAAAAAGCCACTGTGCATGCAAAAACAGGCTAGATAAGTATTGTGGAATGGATAATCAGAACAAGCGAAACTTTATTTCAAGCTTTCCAGGGCATCTTCTGCCTCTCGTTCACATTAAGGCATTCTGAAAAGTCTACTCCTCATTGCTGAAGTCTGTGCGCTAGTTGCTAAGAGAAATGCATTTTAAAGTTTTAAAAAAGGCCACAGGGATAGCAGCACTCAGGAGGTTTCACCTTCACGGTAAAAAAAATCCTTGCAGGTTCTTGATAGCTTCAGTCTAAAATATCTGTTTCAAATGGAACCAGATGGTAATAGGACAAATTAGTAACATAAGCTGTTGGGTCATCAACGTCCTCGGCCTCTTGAGGAAAATCTGTTCCATTTCCAAATCTGTTAGAAAGGACAAACAAAGAGAAGTTAAAACCACTGAACAGAGTCTCGGACATGCTGTTGTAATGCCGCCTGCTTGATTTGTACACATTTTATGGGGCAGTTGGATGTGCAGGCATGACCTTCTTCACACCTTGGTACATAAATATGAAAGCTTGGGCAATGTTTATAGAGAAGAGTAGTACACAGACACACACAAACACTGCAGACTGTGCATGCTCTGGCTTATGTCAGGGGATACAATTGTGATCAGTCATGCTTTTCCACCCTGTCTATTTTATCCCTTTGAAAGCTGTAGGTTGGAGCTGTCTTCAGCTACAGACAGACATGAGAATATTGCCTGCCCTGGTTTATATGTCAGCATCATAAAGATAACTGTATGGGCTTGAGGGTAATTTTATTTTCTGAAGTTTACGAGTTTTTAAGCTGATGTCTTATATA